TTTCTTTTCTTTTCTTTTCTTTTCTTTTCTTTTCTTTTCTTTTCTTTTCTTTTATTCTTTTGGGACAGAGTCTTTCCCTATCACCCAGGCTGGAGTGCAGTGCTGCAATCTCAGCTCACTGTAACCACAGCCTTCTGGGTTCAAGTGATCCTCCTGCCTCAGCCTCCCAAGTGGCTGGGATTACAGGCACGTACCACCATGCCCAGCTGATTTTTGTGGTTTTAGTAGAGGTGGGGTTTCACCATGTTGGCCAGGCTGGTCTCGAACTCCTGACCTCAGGTGATCCGCCTGCCTCGGCCTCCCAAAGTGTTGGGATTACAGGCGTGAGCCACTGTGATGGGCCAGGTTTTTCATAGCAATGCAAAATGAACTAACACACATGTCAGTACCCACAATATACCTGGCATATAGCAGCCTGTCAGTATTTGTTGAAGGAAAGAAATATGCCATCCTGGCCGGGCGCCTTGGCTCACGCTTGTAATCCCAGCACTTTGGGAGGCCGAGGTGGGTGGATCACAAGGTCAGGAGATCGAGACCATCCTGGCTAACACGGTGAAACCCCATCTCTACTAAAATATTACAAAAACATTAGCTGGGTGTGGTGGTGGGCACCTGTAGTCCCAGCTCTCGGGAGGCTGAGAGGGGGGAATGGCGTGAACCTGGGAGGCAGAGGTTGCAGTGAGCCGCAATCACACCACTGCACTCCAGCCTGGGCTACAGAGCAAGACTTCATCTCAAAAAAAAAAAAAGAAAGAAAGAAAGAAATATGCCATCCCACTCTGGAATATGCTCTGTATTTGTTACCTATAACTGCATAACAAATTACTCCAAAACATGGCAGTTAAAACGGTATACATCTATTATCTCCCAGTTTCTGCAGGTTGGGAATCTGGGCAAGGCTTACCTGGATGCCTGCAGCTCGTGGTCCTCTGCAGGTTGTAGTTAAGCTATAAGCAAGGTCTGCTGTCATCTGAAGGCTCACCTGGGGCTGGAGAAGCTCCTTGCATGCACATGGAAGTGGTGTTCACAGGGCAGGCCTCATGAGATCCATGTCCAAACTCACTCACCCACCTGGTTGCTGTCAGGCCTGGGTTCCTTACCATCTGGGCCACCCCACAGGCTACACGAGCATCCCCACCGTGAGTGTCCCCACCGCACAGCAGCTGGTGAGTCAAGAAAAAGAGAACAAGAGAGGGCGCAGATAAATGGAAGTCATAGTCTTTCCTTTGTAAACAAGTGTCAGAATTCACATCCCATCCCTTCTGGAGTTTTTTTTTGGTTTTTTGTTTTTTTGTTTTTGAGACAGAGTCTTGCTCTGTTGCCCAGGCTGGAGGGCAGTGGTGCCACCTCGGCTCACTGCAAGCTCAGCCTCCCAGGTTCACGCCATTCTCCTGCCTCAGCCTCCCGAGTAGCTGCCTCAGCCTTCCGAGTAGCTGGGGCTCCAGGCACCCGCCACCACCCTGGCTAACTTTTTTTTTTTGTATTTTTTAGTAGAAATGGGGTTTCACCGTGTTAGCCAGGATGGTCTCGATCTCCTGACCTCGTGATCTGCCCACCTTGGCCTCCCAAAGTGCTGGGATTACAGGCGTGAGCTACTGCGCCCGCCGTCCAGGTGAGGACTCTTTGAGGGGCTGTACATGTTCATTGCCATGATACATCCCAGAACTGGGGCATAACCATGGGGTAGATCTGCAGACCTGCTGGGTCCACTGTGAGTCAGATTTGGGGCAAAACTCTGTTATCACCTGACTACCATAAACCCCGACTTTGACTGGTAGCACACACTGGCATTTTGCTTCCTAAGAATATTCTAAAAATTTCATAAGATTTTTTTTTTTTTTTGCAATGGAATCTCACTCTGTCGCCCAGGCTGGAGTGCAGTGGCGTGATCTCAGCTCACTGCAACTTCTGCTGCTCGGGTTCAAGTGATTCTCCTGCCTCAGCTTCCCAAGTAGCTGGGATTACAGGTGCCTGTCATCGCACCGGGCTAAAGTTTGTATTTTTAGTAGAGATGAGGTTTCACCATGTTGGCCAGGCTGGTCTTGAACTCCTGACCTTGTGATCTACCCACCTCGACCTCCCGAAGTGCTGGGATTATGGGTGTGAGCCACCGCCCATAATTAAATTTCAAAAGATTTAATGTCATTTTAGAGCCCATGTCCAGAAATCCCCAAAGGGTCGTGGCAAGTCCTTTTTTTCCACGCACACAAGCCCTCAATACATGGCCAAAGGTCCCTATGGGGAAGAAGTGGATGAAGATTTATAGCACATATCTGTGGCAATGTCACAGGGTCCTTCCTTGGGACACAGCCTTCTCTTCAATCAAGGGACTCTGAGTCTGTGAACTAGTTTCAATGTGGAAATTTGCTGTATTTATTTCATTCCTTGAGGCCCATTAGCAACTGGCAAAGGTCGTGTGGGTCACAGCGTTCTGGTGATCACTGTCTTCCTGCCCATTACAACGAATATACCCCCCTGTCTTTGGTGGTTCAGAACTGCTACCTGCCATTGTGGAATTCCACCATCACCCATGAAACCAGGGGAACCATCTCAATAGTGACACTGCCCACTCTCAGACCTGGTCCACGGAGAGCAACCACAGGGTATTTAAATAAGAGGCTAATCTCTTTAGATATGGGAGAGCTGGCAGTTTCCACCAGCAAAGCAAAGAGTTGGGTTCAGACAGGCTCAAGGTTCAAGATTCGCAACTCCACCTGCATCTACTCAGATGAATGCGGACAGCCTCTAGAGGCTGGAAAAGGTGGCCAGGTGCGGTGGCTCACTCCAGTAATCCCAGCACTTTGGGAGGCTGAGGTGGGTGGATCACAAGGTCAGGAGATCGAGACCATCCTGGCTAACACGGTGAAACCCTGTCTCTACTAAATATACAAAAAATTAGCCAGGCATGGTGGTGGGCACCTGTAGTCCCAGCTACTTGGGAGGCTGAGGCAGGAGAATGGCGTGAACCCGGCAGGCGGAGCTTGCAGTGAGCCGAGATCGCGCCACTGCACTCCAGGCTGGGCGACAGAGCAAGACTCTGTCTCAAAAAAAAAAAAAAAAAAAGAAAGAAAAAAGAAGAGGAAGAAAAAGTTGGAAAAGGTGAGGAAATCATCTCTCCTATAGCCTCCAGAAGGAAGAGAGTCCTGCCAGCACCTTGGTTTTAGTCTATTGAGACCCACGTCAGATTCTAACCCGTAGAACTGTGGACTGACCCATTTGTGTTGTTTTAAGCCCTGTAGTTTGTGGTGATTTGTTACAGCAGCAGCAGGATACTGATACACTCACCTTCCCCTAGAAGCTAGGAGATGGCTCCAGGGAAGCCTTGCCTCAACTCCCCTCCCGGAGTCATGTCTTCTGCTGTCTGCCACATACTGCCAGGAAGTGGCACTCTG